TGACGAAGACAAATGTTACGAAAACGATTAATAACAATAGTCCGCCTTTAAACACATTTAAAAATACGTTAATATTTTCTCCTGCTGCGCATTAGGAACCTGAATCTATCTGACACTTAAATAGTCAATTTTTTTAAAATTTAAACTTCACACATTTGTACTAATATTAATATTTTAAAATCGTGTATCCCATTGACTGGTCTATGAGCTTTTATTCCGTACAGCATCAAATGCAGTTACCCCCCGCGGCGACGAAAGAGCGGCAACTATTCCTGCAAAGATTATACCCATTTGTAGCTCTTATATCATTCTAAGTGTTAATTCACTCCCCAGAAGTTATAGTTGCTTCCCCATCTAATTCCGGGACCCCCAGTATAATGGTGAATTTATAATCACCCAAATATATAAACAGGATTGTGTGTATGAGTGTGAGAGAGTGTGGGGGCGAAAGTAATTTTCCGGATAGTATCTGTTTATAAGGTAATAATGTGAAAATATATTCCTTTACTTTCGCCCGTATGCTCTTAGACTCTCTCGGGTGCTATAAAAATCAAATTAAACTTAAGCTGTCTCGATCCGCAATTTATTCAGATGTTTCAAAGTTTTAATTTTAGGCGTTTTTTAGAGGTGCATATTCGGCAAACATGTCTGCATAAAATGATTAAGTCGCATAGGGAAGAGAAATGGGGATTCAGAAAGTGGCATTTATATTCTAAACGAGTGTGTTTTTAATCAACTATTCCTTAAGTTTCCCTCTATCTCTCTCTATTATAGATTTATATATATATATATATATATATATATATATATATATATATATATATATATATATATATATATATATATATATATATATGTTATGATTGTTTCTTTTGACTTTTATTTTAGTTTGTTGAGCCAATAAATTTAATACATCTTATTTGTTATCAAATGTAAAATAAACTCCTTATATTACCTGTGTTTTCCTTATATTTTCTAGTTTTCCTTTATCGGCATAGAGAAGAAGGATAATAATAAAAGAAAATATTATATTACAAAAAAATCACGTTTCTCTATTTTATATGAACGAATAAAACAATTATCAAATTCTGCCGTTATCTTATCAATCAGCATACAAGAAAATAAATGGAATTTTTTTAATAATAAGATTTTAAATCTACGTACATTTATATTAAGTGAAAACCAATTTTACTTAAATTTTCTTTTACTTGAAACAAATAACAACAAGACTTTAAACTTTTGATTAGTTAAACAAATCTCAATTCTCAAATTTGAATGATCCTTCAACAGATATTAATTTCAATTGTACAAAACACTTACAGCTTATTTTCTTATTGAGTTGTATGTTGAAACATACCCAGAAAAAGTCCAGTCTCCTCAACGATGTGATCTCTCCACCTCGGCTCCTTCCTAACGTCTCTGCAAACCTCCTGCACTAACCAAAAACACCTGATTCACTTCTCCAAACACTCAGCTACTTATTAATGACACAAAAACTTCCTTTTGTTAACTTGATGCCGTAAAACTACTTTCATATATCTTCACAAAATGCCCACGGTAGATACAAGGACCTCTTTTAATCAACTTGTTATCTCCTTCTGCAAAACTATTTAATTATTTTATAATGCCTATGCCTGTATCCAACTCACGAAACCACACCCTATCTTGGGACAAACGACTGTTTCCTTCGATGACCAAATTACTACGAACTAACTTCCCCAGTTCTCCCGATCGGCTCACAAATTACCATTCAAAAACGACCGTCCAATCAAAAGCTTAAATTGTGTTTACCATGATTTTGGAAAAGCCTAATTTCGGTTTCAGAGAAAAACTAAATAGCTTACTTTAAAATTGGTTTTGTCAATACACAATTTATACATATTTCAAAAGATTTGAATATGGTCATTTAATACCTGATTATACAAACAATGAAAAAATTAACCTACAGGTAAAATGTCTTCTAATTCTAAACAAAGGTTTTTTGATAATTTTGTTGGAAACGGAAATGGTCGTTTGCCAAATAAATTTCTATTCTTATCTACACTAAATCCCATCTTAAATTACTATATACAATTTGTTTATACTGATATCTTAAAATTTTATTTCGATGGATCTTTTTATTTATTTTTCTTTTTTTGGGAAAGAAGAAACATAACAATATATATATATATATATATATATATATATATATATATATATATATTATATATATAATGGAAAAGGATAATGCGAGTGAATAATAAAAGTAAAGAGTAATGGCATGCCTCGCAAAACAAAAAAACAAAAATGGTATATCGATGGAAGGCAACCGTATATACGTATTTCTGACTATTGGTCGTCATCAGTACGGTGCAGCCAAGTTAGAAAAGGAGCATATTAACTTGGGAAAGGATCACTATATATATATATATATATATATATATATATATATATATATATATATAATTTGTAGTCTCATATATATATATATATATATATATATATATAAATATATATATATATATATATATATATATATATATATGTGTGTGTGTGTGTGTGTGTGTTTTATCTTGATGTTGCAGTCATTAATAGGTCAAGAAAAGTGAAACCCTTTAATATTATCTAGCCTACGCCCAATTTATTTGCTTCTTTAGGATATGCTAAAATAAGGTTGCAATTATTTTCTGTAAATACAATGCCATTAACACAAAAAATATTGCATAAAACAAGTACAAAAATTTACATGAGGTTAATCCATTAAATTTTTAACATTATCACAAAACATTAAACTGAATAAAATTAAAATTGCTATGATTAGGAAACATCAGTAGACAATTAAATAAGATTATTAAAGCATTTTGCTAATATTATGAGAAATTTAATTTTATTCAGTTTAATGTTTTGTGATAATTTTTTTTCTATTCGTAGGTTCTCATTATTATTTCGCCGTTTTCTCCATAACATTATATCTCCGTCACTTTCTCTAAGGTTTCTATCTATCATACCTATATACGTTTCTTATATACGCACATTTCCTATGTACGGTTTTCATATTTAGTATATTATAGCAGTTCCTCCTCTTAGTCTTCTTTTCAGTGGGCCCCAGTCATATTCTTTTCGACCACACGTGATATGGCATTCTTTGTACATGCCCGAATAACTACAGGGCTATGTTTTTCAACTTTTTGTAATTGAGCATTCTACTTTCGTTTTAATTCAAGAAACAAATTTTTCTCGGCATAAGATTTTGACACCATAAAAATTACTTTAGTGATTTAAGAGTACTTTTATAAAAAGTTAATTAACCCTTACAGAAATGATCAGTTTAAACAATGTAACAAAAATTAAAATTACCACAAGTTAAAAAATGAACCAAACTAATTTGTTCTTATGTATAGACAGTTTTAGCTTTAAAAAATAACTTCTTAACAGCTTTCAATCTCCAATGGAACTACAGTTCGCCTTGCTTGCAACAACCTTGCCGTCTCGCGTCCATCTTCTTTACACCTCTAGCAAAGTAACAGTTTATTAAAAAACGATATGTTACTATTGACAGGTAAGTCATAATATATTTACTAGTGGAACACCGGTTGATACTATTGAGCTAAGAGTTGATTCAGATGTTCCTTAGGAATTGATATTATCACTGATTTGTTTCTGTTATAGGTAACTGGCTTGAGAAATGTTACACAAAGTTGTCATCTTAAAATATATGCCGATCATACGTCGATTATGTCATCTGTTTCAAATACATTCCTGGAAAATAGATTTATGACTGATTCAATTAAATACTCTGTTTCAATCAAATTCTGATCTTTCCGTTTCTTCTAATTAATTATAGATGATGGTCTGACCAGTTTTTAACTCTAATAAACGAATATTGGTATTATTAACTAATTATTGGTATATTGGTAACCATATGTTCTGTATTTTTCTTCATTTAGTAGGATGAGGAATCTTTGATATTCTCTTTTTGCGATTTATTTCTTTCATGACTATTAATATATCTTTCCATTGTACTATGTGATCATTATCCTAAGTAGCATATCTGAGATATGTCAAAGTCACATATTAGTATTGTATAATGAAATTGAATGAAAAGATGCAGCAATAGTCATGAAAGATGTATTAATATTAGTCATTACATTACAATACATAACAATACACACAAAACTAAGGCTGGTAAGGGCACTCATTTTCCCATAGCCACATATGCATCCGAAACGTGGACCTCAAAGAAAGCGGATAAAAATAAACTAAACGCTTTTGAAATGCGGGTATACCGCCGCATGTTAATAATATTGATCATTGATCATCGCACTAATGTATGGATATTAAAACAACTTAAAGTAACGGATAGATTGCTTATACAAATACAACAGAGATATTGCAAGAAGAACAGGTACAGTGGAAAAACTGATAGTCGAGGGTGGAGTTGAAGGAAAGATACCTAGGGCAAGATCTCCAAGCCGTTGGGTAGATCAAAAAAAAATATTGATTAACCAAGGGTTACTTGAAGCCGAACAACTAGTCCAGGACAGGAAAGGATGGAGGGAAATCGTGAAAAAAACTGTAAAAGCCTGATGGTGTCACCACATCTCAAAAGGGATAAGGACTGAGGAGGAGGACATTACAATCCACATTGTTCGTTCTTTCTATTCTTTTACTTACAGTCTCTACAGTCTTATTTCTCATTGTATTTTCTTTACTTTGGGATGTTTATCATATTATAATCGCAAGTTAAAAGAGATATTTAGTTAAAGATTTGATAAATAACGATAAATGAAGAGGAGTGGAATAAGTTCAAAGATGATAAATAATCTTGATTTATCAGATAGATAGAACGGTTGCATTTTTTTTAAATGTTTACCCATTATGGCACTTAGTTAGGTTTACTTTACTTAGATCAGGGATAGTATTGTCTACTGTCAAAAATAATTTCAGTAAATTTAAGTTCATTAAATAAAATAAGAGACATTTATTATTAGACATATAAAAATTATCAGCAAACATCATAATAAGAAATATAAGTAGGATTTTATTTATGCTTGTTACAATATAAACAATATTTGATACAATTCAAATATTCAAAAAGCAAAGTATACAAAAATAAATATATTAAACGTGACAAGGTAATAAACAATACAAATTTTTTAATTAATATAAATTAAAAAAATGGATTTACATTATTATCTTTTTCAGTTGTTCTTTTTTATTCCTTTGTTATTATTTTTGTCAACATTTTTATTACGATATACAAGCTTTTTAAGTGCTCTGAACGCATAACCAATAATTTTAACGAAAACGTACACAATCAAAAGAAGTGTAGCCATAACGTCCAAACAGTAGTATTGATAAAAGGGTACATCCACATCGGTAACTCTTAAATGCTTTGCTCCTTTATGTCTAATAACGTATTCAATCCACCACACTGCTTTTTCAACTCCTGTCATTGGTGTATCAAGTAGTAACTCTGCAATTTTGATGATGTTTTGCTTGTAGCTAAAACAGAACAAAAATTCTTTCAAGACTATCAAAACTTAGCTAAACATATATATTTTTTTATTTAAGTAATCGCATTAATTATTTAGGTTGTTAGTGATAATACAAGACAAAGACAATAAATGGTTAAATGCTATAGTTGGTCTGTACTTTTGTATGAAGCAGACTAAAAGTACCAAGCATGACAGATATCAACAGAATTGAAGCATTAGAAATGTGAATTCACGTACGGATGCTGAAGAAGATACCTTAAAATGAGGAAGTACTAAGGAGGGCCAATAAAGGTAAAGAATTGTTAAATGATGTTTAACACCTTAAAATGTATTATCTAGGACATATGGGGAGAAAAAAATGATAACTGACAACTGACAATTGACAACTGATCATTAAAGGCAAAATTGAAAATAAAATAAAAAGGCAAAAATAAAAATAGGTTATATAAAGAAAAGCAATTAAATTGTCGTGAAAAGTTAAGAAATAAAACTGCCGGAAATACAGTTCTCAATGATTTCGTGTTGAATCGATGGGTGTTCAGTTGTAGATGTGAACCCTTCTACGAAATATGTGGAACACTCAATTGAAACATGTTTTAGTAATAGGGGCACTTTAAATCTCACATGGCGGCTATTGTTCTTTCATGATTAGATGTTTATGTGTTAACCTAATGTGACCAAATCTGAGTCTTGTCAACATTACCTGGGAGTAACGAATTTTTGAGTAATTGATCCATGGGCAACATAAGAATTTATTATCTTTTAATGTTAGAGAATTTTCCTATTAGGTTTTATTTCATTTATTTAAAATATTTATAAGTAGTTGGCAGCTATATTCTCTCTATAGAGTTAGTATATGAGAGGGCACTTATAAGGTGAAGAGATTCTGTTGGATAGTTGACGAAATTAATTTTTAATTAAACTAACAACATGATTCTTTTTTCAGCTCGATTGTTCAATACAATCGAGCTGAAAAGAAGAATAAACCTCGCTAGGGCTGCATTTGGAAGGATGAAGGATATTTTTAGGTCTAAGATTCCAATGTGTCTGAAAAGAAAAGTATTTAATCAATGTATTTTGCCAGTGATGACCTACGGCGCAGAAACCCTAACGCTCACAAGAACAACAGTGAGTAAACTACAAGTTGCGGAAAGAGCAATGGAGAGAATTATGTTAGGGATTTCTCTACGTGATAGAATACCCAATGCTACTATACGCAAAAGATCAGGAGTAGCAGACGTTATTGAAAGGATAACAACACTAAAGTGGAACTGGGCAGGTCATGTAGCAAGATCAGTTGATGACCGGTGGACAAAAAGAATTTTGGAATGGAGACCCCGAATACAAGCTTACAGAAATAGAGGTCGACCCCCAACGAGATGGACAGATGACATAAAAAGAGTGACTACAAATTGGATTCAGATGGCGCAAAATCGCACTAAGTGGAAAAGCATGCGAGAGGCCTATGTTAGAGTGGACGTTAGAGGCTAGTTGATGATGATGAACAACATGATTGTGACTGTTTATTTTGGATATAAACTGAATTAAACTTAATGACTTGTAGTCCGTAAACCGGATGTTAAATGTAAATCGGCATATCTATGTTTCGTGGACCTTAAGAAGGCATTTGACTGGGTCAAATTAAAAGACGCTATCTACTTACTGTACGCAAGAAAGATACCTCTAGGAATAATCAAAATGATTGAAAATTACTACCAAAACAACACAATAAAAGTAAAAGTAGAAGAAGAAGTAACCGACCCTATTGAAGCTGAAAATGGGATAAGACAGGGGGATTCCAAGAGTCCTCTATTGTTCAATCTGATTATAGATGAAATAATAAAAAAGTAAAAACAAAACAAGGATACCAAATGGGAGAAAAACAACTTAAAATAATCTGCTATGCAGACGACGCAATACTACTCTCTCGAAATGAAGATGACTTACAACGTATGCTGCACCAATTTAATATAAACGCCATAAAATTTAATATTTTAATTTCTAGCTACCAAAAGCTCAAAACTAAAGTGAAAGATTAAGTGAATAGAACAAACAGAGCCGCAGGCTGCCTAAATGAAACAATATGGAGAAAAAAAAATATTGGGAAAGAAACGAAAGCAGAATTTACAAAACAGTCATCAGACCAACAATGACATACGCGGCACAGAAAAAAGACCTACCACAGACAGGACAAAAAGGATGTTAGAAACAACAAAATACGAAAACAATTGATGGTAAGACACTGTGGGATAGAGCTAAATTGACTAATAAATAGACCAGTAGAATAGAATGATCAAATAAGCCAAATGACAACAAATAGAGTAGTAAAGACGGCAAGAGACGGTTCTCCAATAGGAAGACGATCAGTAGGAGACCACGAAAACGATGGAACGACAACTTACTGGAGGCATATTGAAAAATAGACGAAGTCATGTCTATATAAAAAAAAGAAGGAAAAAAGAACAGTTGTAGTTATAATAAATTTGATATTCTATACCATTATTATTTTTAGCTAATCTATTTTCCTTTCTGGACATAGGTCTTTCCCATTTTCTTCAACTGATTTCTATCCTGCGTGAATCTTATGTATTCTTTACCTGCTATTTCTCTTATGTCGTCAAATCACCTCTATTGAGAGCCCTACACTTCTCATCATCATCATTTTGGCTTTACAACTCTGTGTGGGTTCTAGCCTCCCCAAGCATTTTTTTCCTGTCGTCACTATCCATTGTCTTCCTCCGCGAAGCACATATTTCCACATTTCGCATATCTTGATCTATGTTATTTAGGAATCTTGTTCTGGGTCTTCCTCTTCTTCTTTGACCTGTCTATTAAGGAGCTTTTTTCTACCTGGGTCGGTTTGCTCCATCCGCATTACATGACCTACCTACCTCAGACGTCCTATCTTAATGTGTTTTACGATATCTGGTTCCTGGTATATTCGATAGTGTTCGAAGTTGTATCGTCTTCTCCAGACACCAATTTAATTTACCGCTCCATAGATTCGCCTTAGTATTTTTCTTTCGAAACATCCTAACATGTTTTTATTGCTTTTTGTTAAAGTCAAGGTTTCTGAACCATATGTTAGGACTGGGCGTATTTATATTTTGTAGAGTTTTACTTTTGTATTTCTTGATATAACTGTAGATTTAAAAAGGAGATTAAGACAAAAAAAAAGGCATCTATTAGACGTGCAAATTCTGCGGTTTATCTCTGCGGTAGTGTCATTTTCAGTATTCACGGGCGTTCCCAGGTATACAAATTCGTTAACTGCTTCAATGACGTCGTTTTCTATAACAAGTGGCCGTAGTATTTGTGGTTGCGTACCTATTTTCATGTACTTCGTTTTATTGGTGTTTATTACTAAACCCATTTTTGTAGCCGCTTCCTTTAGTGCTACGTACGCCTCTAACTAACCTTGAGTTTTAACCTTGTTTAGACTTACGCCTCTTCAAGGAACGGGGAACTCCTTTTTTTGTCGGAGTTGTGGTGGTTACGAGATAAGACGTCAACTGATCGAAACGCGGCCTAAGAAGCAGAGAACTGCTAAGGAAGAAGGGGGAAAAGAAGGTGGCTTATTTTGTGATCGATAAGAATCGTGAACGCACAAGAAGAATTGGGGTTGCCTAGCATGCAGTGAGGTACTTCAGGGTTACCAGCCATACAGTAGGAACGGCTTTTTATCAGCGTTTTTGGTGCGCAGCTTATCTGCGATAGTATATGGGAAAAGATTCTAAAATATCAAAATACTCATCAGGAAGTTCATGTCCAGCGTTATGTAGAAGTTTAGCTGGAGGGAATGGAACTTTTTTGGCGGGATGCCTGGTGAGTATTTGCCCTCTATGTGTGCAAGGTGTCTTTAATGTTTGTTTTGCTCGGTTGTTCGAGCCAGCTATGGTTCTTAGGACATACTTCCTACTGAGGGTTAGGATTCTGTCCTTAATAGGCGTGATGTTAGCTAATGCGTGTATGTGGGCCGATGGATACAACCAGTCTTTTCTCATGCAGAAACGTAGTATTCTACGCTCTGTGGCGGCGATGGCATTAAGTTCGTGGTTCCTCAGGGAGAGGTAAACGCATGCCTTGTATTCGATAATCGGTCTGATAAAAAGTCTTGTAGGTGTGCAACAAAGTGTTAGTGGACGTTCCTCCTAGTTTACCGGCTAGCACTTTCAGGAGGGATTCTTGGACGTCAGCCTTCCAGTTGAGAGTTCTCGTAAAACGAACTCCCAAGTAGAGAACTGAGTTCCTGAGAATAAGGTCCTCTCCCAAAAGTGTCACCCGGCCCTGAAGGCCGCGTCCGCATGGGGGTCTGAATAGAATTGCTTGGGTTTTGGAGGGGTTTAAAGTAACCCTCCATTTGTTGCATTACCTCACGACTCTGTCAAGATAATCTTGCGATTTCTCGAATACAGACCGTCGCTCTCCTTCCCTGTAGGAGCCTGAGGTAAGAATGGCTGTATCATCAGCAAATAGAAGGAGAGACTCTGATCCTTGCTGTGGGCGGGGGATGTCGCTATTGTATACTGTGTATAATATTGGAGTAAGTATTAAGCCTTGGGGCACTCCTGCTTGAGGAGTGAATGGAGTGGAGAGATGCTCTCCTATTTTGATCCGAACCGTCCGATGGGAGAGATAGGAATTTATTAGTTTAACGAAAGGTGTTGGCAGTCCAGCAAGGTGGAGTTTCTCGATCAGGCCTGCGTGCCAGACTTGATCGAAAGCCTTCTGGACATCGAGGAAAATGCCTACGACGTGCTTCCTTTCGTTAATGGATTGTGAAATGAAGGTTGTTGCTTTAACCAATGCATTTTGAAGCAACAACCTTCATTTCACAATCCATTAACTAAAGGAAACACGTCGTAGGCATTTTCCTCGATGTCCAGAAGGCTTTCGATCAAGTCTGGCGACTTGAAGGCTTTCGATCAAGTCTGGCTTTTGATCAAGTACGCCTCTCATGCTGCGTTTTTCGTACGTCCAACAATATTGACCTATCTATCCTCTACACTTCTCTTCATCGTGCTTAAACATCATTGTAACTGCTACATGACCTATCCAGCGTCACAGCATCCTACTTATTTCTTTTATAATATATGATACTTTTGTATCCATATTATGTCATATGTAATGACGTCCCAAGAATGTACCTCAACAAATGAACAAATTAGATGTAGAAACAACATGAAGAACAATATATTGGAATGAAATAAATTAGTAAATTAGTTTAAACCTCCAATATATATATATATATTATATATATATATATATATATATATATATATATATATTGGATATAAGAAGAAGAGGTTATTCTAAAGCAAAGGTTTGGTAGGTAGGTATAGTAGATACTATGTAGAGAAAAACTTATATAAGAAGTACTTCGTAAACCAAAGCAAAGAAAGTGAAGTTGTGGAAATTGATGTGGGAAAGATCAAGATTTACAAAGAACTGTAGAATTAAGAATGATAACGAATGCCTTTCAACTAAACTCTAGGTGCTTTCTTAAAAACTGTGTTACTTTTCTAAGAACCAGACCAATATTAATCTATTTGATTAGACGGCGGATGTTTCTTATAGTTGTTTACATTCAAAATATATTTCTTCATTATTTAAATCTACTGTTTGTCTTCATTTAAGACAGAAGCAAATATGGTATACCTCTTTTAAAATCGTCAAGGATTAAGTTAATTTTTTACAGTGCTGTTAAATTTAGAACTTTTTGACCATTGTATAAAGATTATACATTAAATATCTCACCTAGGATTAGTAATGACTTCAATTATAGCACTTTTAAAAGATTCTTTGTCGGGTAATGGCTTATGTGGTACGATTTTTGCTATTCCTTTCAGTTCCATTCGTTTTGCGTTTGCTTCTTGATCACCGTACATTGGCATCATTACCATGGGAACGTGGTTTACGACAGCCTCTTCCAGCGATTGCATTCCACATTGGGTTACGAATACTTTTATGTTGGGATGTCCTAAAATAAAAAAGAAACTTTAGTAATTATATCTATTTCATAATATATGAAAATCATGAAAAATCTCTCTTTAAATTTTACTATAATTAAGTTTCATTTAAACATAGAGCATAATTTAATCTCTAGTCAAAATAGGCGATAAAAACATCAACTAATTTTTTTCAGAAATAAATAAATTAAAGAATAAGCTTAGCAAATGAACATCAGGGTTTTTGTACTAGAAGATCGTGTATGGATGTAATATTTAGCATAAAGCAAATTTTAAAAAAATCATCATAGAATAATAGACCATAGTATCTATGTCATATATTTAAAAGTAGTAGTAAGAAATCTTCTTCTAAATCTGTGACCATTATTGATCGTTTGATGTTGGCTACCATATTCGCTATCTTGACTTTATTGACTCGAAATAATGATGTTGTCGATTTAACGTACCATTAAGTCTTTTCTCGAATATTCAGATGTAAAAGTTCATATTTTTCAGGGTGTCTCATACAATCCAGCTGTTTTCAATATTTCCATCATTTTGGTGTACCAGAACTTGGGTACCAATCAATGCTTCTCTATATCTAAACCACTCCTAAATCCGAATTCAATATTGCTAATTCTTTCCTTTAATATCGCGTATATTCTGCTATGTATTGCTCGCAGGAGGATCTTCAAAACGTGACTTCTCAGACCTATTGTCTGATAATCACTGTATGTCTTTGCACGATGTTTCTTAGGCATTGTGACAAATGTCGACTTAGGCCAATCAGTTGGTAATATTCCAGTGTTATAAAATAAATTCTGTTAAAGAGACCACACTGTACTTTAATTCCATTTTATCCCAAAAACTTTAGTATTTCAGCACTTACTTTATCGGAGCAAAGTGCTTTTCCGTTTGCATTGCATTGCACATGTAACCTCACTTTCTGTTATAGATGGACCTGTTATGGCAATCGGTGTATAGTGTTCTACTCTTTTATCTTTAAATAATTTAGAAATGTTGTTTCTTCAATCTTTACATTGTTTCCGTTCATTACATTCTTTACCATGAAATTGTGTTTTCACATGTCTTATTTTCTGCCTGATTTTTGATATTGCGTGAATTCTTTTGTATTCGTTTTTACCATTATTTTTGAATTCTCTCCACTAAAGATTATTAGCACCCCTACTCCATTTAAGGAGCGCTTGTACTCTTTGCCGTTTATTTATTAGCCATTAACATGATTGCTTCTTAGAAAAGTTAGGTTGTAGGTGGTTTTCCGATGCCTTCCTAGAATGTGTAGTAAGTAGTAAAAGGAAAAAAGGGCAGATGGTGAGCCATCTGCACTCGGAAACCTATTAGTCAATCGGGGTCAGAAGATACGATAGTTAGACAAGAGAGTCTGGTAGGAAAGACTAAAGAAATTTCACTCAAGACAAGTTAAAAATGAGTAAAATATGAAGGCCCTTATGATCTGTTACATGAGTTTCATAAGAGTATGAGTATTGATATACCTTGTGGTCCCGCTCATACCACGGTATGTTGACTACAGACTGTATGACTGATCATGCCATAGCATGGGGCATAAAATGCTCGTCATTTTTATAATGTGGAAATCCCAGCTTCATGACTCGACCACGAAATGCATAGTAAGACTCAAATATGTAATTCATATGTTATATGGTAAAAAGGCTCCCTTAAATCTAAAAACTGTTGAAAATATCTACTACAATAGCAAGATATATGGACAACTTATTATAAGCGTGGTCAACGGAATACAATAGGTGACTCAATAAACTTTATTCTCTTTAATTTTATTATAAGTGAAGTCATTAAGCGTCAACAAAGGAAGAAGATGTAAAATGAGAAACAAAGAAGACAAAACACACTGTTACGCAGAGTGTCTACACATACTACTCCATAGATTCAATACAATGACAAAAGAATTTATACGTTGATCTTAACTCACGAAACTAAGGTTCCAGCTATGAAGACGTGAAGAGAGATCAAGTACAAAAAGCAGACTGAAAGGACGCCTCCATAACACTATGATGAAACTGGCATATTTACACTCGGATAAAGTTAAGAATTTATGAAGCCAGTATAAGCTCAATAGTGAGATATGCATTAGAAACAAAACCAAATCAGTTAATTAATCAGCAAAATTATTTAAAAAGGAAAAAAAAGAACATGTTCCTTAAAATAGCTTCGAATTAAAAATTGTTCTAGTTCAGAGCAAAAATTATGAATTCATACTGTACCTGGCGTTTCGGCTCCCAGATCGTAAACACTATCAGTTTTTTAAAATATTTTCCAAATTGAATGCATAAATGACAAATAAAACTTTTGATTTTTTTTAGAAATATAATAATAACATTTGGGTGGAAACTAAAGGTTAAATATCTATCACTCACACTAGATAATAAACTTTATTATAATAATTTTAAACTTTTATAATTAAACCATTTGAAGTTACAGAATCGAGAAGCGGTACGATAACTCAAACTAGTATTTTAACTTTTGTTGGGACAAATTTTTATTATTTTAAAAAGTAAATCGTTTTATACCTTTTACAAATAGATCCTTATTTAGTAGAAATTTCTAGATTACAGAAGTTGTATGATGAAGTAGAAGCCGGGGATGATTTAGAACATAAATGATTTTGTGGTGAAGAAGAAGACATCTATGAAACATTACTCCATTAAAGTGACAAAGAAGAAGAGTTAGATTTTGAAGATACTCCAGAAATTCTTTCCGCCGTGGTAGGAATATAGGTATATAGGTAATATAGGTAATAATAAGCATCTTTATTATACAGCAAAATATGGTAGCACAAAATGAAATAAACATGTGCCAAATCAGCAAGTGCGAACTCAAAGTCACAATATAATTTCACATTTGCCTAGTCCCAAAGAAAAGTGCGAAAAACTCTAGGTCACTTACAGAAACTTTTCAATCTTTTTTGAGCAACAAAATCATATTTTATGTCAATATGACAGCCTGGCAAATGTGAAGAAAAGCTATCGGCAAGGTGCTAGGTGTATAGAAGGTTCAGTCTCAAAGTTATTAGACCTTTTAAATAGAATTAGGCTAAAGTATGTAATCTAGGACTAGAGAACCACAATAGATCTGAAAAGATCGCAGTGGAAGGAGATAAAAGCCATCATATTGCGTTTATCTATCTATCTAGAGATTGTGTTAGTTTGCAAAAATGACCACGCAATATAATAGGAATACTTACAGGTCAGTGTAGATTGAAAAAGAACTTAAAGAACTTAGTTGCATTGATATTCTTATATAGTAGATGTGACAGAATGAAAATTCTGTACGGTAGAGGATCAAATTTCTATATAAATACTCCTAAACTGCTGCCAACAACGTCAAAACATGAGATATAAATAGACTGTTTTCCTACCACTAGATATACTAAACTTCCCGGAAAAAAGAGGACTGTCGGATCTGCTGTAATCACTAGAAATTCATCAGAGAAGGCACGAAAAAAAATGGTTTATTATAGGTTGCAATGCTCTTAACAGATCTTATAAGTCACATTTTGAATTTTCTCCTAAAAGTATTTACTAATTATATCATTTATTGGGGAAGAGCACAATTTTTTACATAAAACGCCACCGTATCAAATCAATAAATATTAAAATTGATGAATTAAGAATAACTTGTCTTACTTAATACATCCTGCTGAGGAACCCATGAGACAAGTTTAATATTTTTCGGTACAGCGACACCTTCATCTTCAAACTTCCACAAAACCTTATACGGTAATTCACCAAGAGCTTCCATAATGATCTTTATTTTCTTCTCCCCCATAAACGCACTTTTGGTGTTTGATCCTAAACTAAAGTAAACGCATCCTTCTGTGGCACTATCGAGGAAGTCTTGCAGATCCTTAAATTGATAGAAAAATTTAATTCGACGCTACTAAATAAACAAATAAATTATAATAAGTAGTTTTCATTAGCAAAAAGTTTTAGAAGTGGATCAGAGATTTCTAAGTAAAATCGACAAATATTTCAGCAGGAATGAATGGCCTTGATGATGATGATGTTTACGGGAAAAATGATTTACAGGTACTCAGACTTTTTTGACATTCAAGATTACGTGACTTGGCCTTTCTAGATTACTTATTATGGGCTTATTTACAACAAAAACAGGCAGGTTTTTGCATTTCTTGCCGAACTTCATCAAAGCCTGCTAGATTATTTTTTTCCGTTTTCAAATTGTTCTGATTTCTTATTCTTATCTTGGTACAGTGCTTACTCTCTTCATGATTTTTAGATATTAAAATTTGATTATATTTAGTTATGATGTTACTAGTTTATGCAGTATGCATAATTCTGCATATTTTTTAGTTTTAAAGTTATTCATTCTTGAAGCTGTTTGTAATATGAAATTTATATTGATTTTACCGCACGTGTTTTTTATAAAGGTTTTATATAAAGGTATATATTAAAGGTTTTCTATCCTGAATTTTCCATAGTTATATTCTTCTGTTCTGAACTCTACTAATCCTTGAATTCGAATTCCCAATTATTATAATATTGTACCAACCAATTGCTAATATTTAACAAGGAAAATTATGGAAAAAGACAAATAATAGATTAAGAAGAGTGTCTTTATGTCCATTCTTAGATTATTCAAATTGTAGTTCAAAATCACCGTGTTTATCATTACCACCTGCGTGACTATTTTATCTCCCCGATAAGATATTACTTTTAAGAATGAAACACATACAGACAAAATATCAATCAAATATTATCGATAAAGATTAAATAGTTTACTTTAATTTTTTACAATTGTTATCTGACACTTCAAATTTTGAATGTTAAAGTGACCTGATTTGGAATCGACTTATAAAAATAAACTGATACAATTTAACATATACGTTAAGAATTACAAACCTTATATCATCTAAGCTAAAAAATCACTCATTGCAGATATCTAGGATACCAAAAGAATTAAACTATTATTATGTCAACAAGTCCTAGGGGATCTGGTAAGTTAGAGTATCTCCTAAGACTTTTTGTAAGCATCTGGATGTTAGGAGCAGTACCGCTTTCTTTATAGTATTATAGAGATTTTTCCAAATAATTATTTAAAATTACCTACGATTTTCTTCGCAATGGCCGGATAGTAGAGTCGATGATAAGTAAAGTATGGTTACTCTCTATTTTTCATGTCTCCTTATTTGTATCTCAAAATCTGCGTACTTAGCAATCTTACCGTTGTATTTAACACGCAGATTAGTGTTGCTGGTTATAGCCACATTAATTAGTGTTATTAATTTAGGTAGATTATTCACGAGTATGAGATCTGTTCTACTATATAGTCTATACAGGGTGTTTCAAAAAGGTATCTCATAAATTAAATCAGGCATTCCGGGGACAACAATAAATTGATTAAATCCAACTTACCTGAGTAGAAAATGTACACAAAAAAATTACAGCCCTTTGAAGTTACAAAATAAAAATTGTTTTTTTGCATTATCTCCTAAACTAATTGACATTTTATAATAAAAATGGACATGTTACTTTCTTGTTCTGAAAGCATTTTTCCTACAAAATACACAACAAAATCTAAGCGCACAGAAAAATTTTAAGGAGGGTGTGCAGCCCTAAATCCCCCCAAACTTTTGAGAAAAGTAGTCTAGGAGACAACGCAAAAAAAACAATTTTTAATTTGTAACTTTAAAGGACTGTAACTTTTTTTGTGTACTCTTTTGTACTAAGGTAAGTTGGATTCAATCAATTTATTTTTGTCCCCGGAATGCGTGATTTAATTTATGACTTGTATACAGTCCACATGGCTATTTGCATTTTCGAAACTACTGAACGGAATAATTTTACCGATGTCATTCTGAACCATTCACGAAGATTTGGTAGTTAAAAATTGTTCTACGTCCTACGTTTATTTTTCCAACGATATTTCCTTGCATTATAAGCTATAATATATTTTTACACTTATTTATATTCAGAAAATATTTGCACACAAATTTTTTTTTTTAATTTTCAAAAATTAAGTTATTTTTCATATTTATATCTTTTTACGTTTTGACCTATAGTAGGTATCTTAGACAAATTGTATCTAGAATTTTACGTATAATCTAAAAATGCGATTATATACAGGGTGTTTTATTTTAAATATCAAAGTATCAAAATTGCAATACTCACAAAATATTTTCTTTAAGTTAGTCATAACTTTTAATCTCCAAAAACCAATTTTCGTATATAATATCGTATAATATATCTTTTTTATATATCGTATAATATATCTAGTTTTCGAAATGTATATACCTAGATGTGTCCGTAAAGTATGGAATAAATTCGATATTTCCTAAATGAAAAGCCTTTTAAAAACATCTAAAACATGTCGACTTTTAAGTTTAATGTTTTACATTCCATAACAAAATTTCATTATAAAATATGATACACATTAAGATAATGACGTCATCGGCTCTTTTTTTTTTAATGTAACACCCTATATTCTATGAAATTTTTAGATCAATAAAAATGCGCTGATTCCAAAAAGTTTAATACTCGGGTCTAATGGATATAATTTGAAAGATATGCACTTAGAAAATAAATGATTTATTATCAATTGCAAAAAAGTAGCATATAACTAGTTTTTAGTGAAATGTAATTATTTTTAGTAACGTTCGATAACAATTAAGTAGTACAATAATTTTATTAATTCGTGAATGTTCTGTATTATTGCTTAGAATTAATTTGAAGTAGAAATGAAATTGAGTGTCAAGCAAAGAATTCAAATACTCATGATGATTGGGTATGGAGACAAATCGCGAACTCAGATGGAAATGTGTAATTTATTTAATCATAAATATCCAGAAAGACTTATAACGCAGTCAACAGTAAGTAAGATTAAATAGAAATTTCGAAAAACTGGTACGGTTGAAAATGCACGCAAATCAGGTCGCCCCTCTGTACATTATGATACAACATTAGATGTTCTACTTGCTTTTGAAGAAGATGTGCACAGTTCTGTTCATAAGGTTAGTCGTGATCTCATAGTTTGCAAAACAACGGTACACAAAGTAATAACACCTGAAAAATGGCACTGCTTTAGATGTACACTTGTACAGGAATTAAACGAGGATGATTCAGATAAAAGAATACAATTTTTTGAAACAATGATGGATAACTACCACCGAAACCCTCTCTTATCGAATGTCGCCTCATCAGAAAAAATAATATTTTCAACATATTATTATTTCTGATGAGCTACATTCACATTAAATAGCGAAGTTAACCGTCAGAATTGTAGATACTGGGCAAAAGAAAACCCCAATTGGATGCGGAACATCATACACAATACCCGCAAAAGGTAGACGTATGGGCTGCCATTATAAGAAATAGAATCATTACTACTTTTTCGAATGTAATTGAAACGGGCCAGCATATCTTCAGTTTTTAAGGGGGTATCTCGTACCTCTTTTAATTAATTTATTCCCAGTAGAATTAATTATGGAGGTTTTAATGAAAGTTTATTGTTTTAACAGGATGGTGCACCTTCGCATTATGCTGTAGATGTTAAAAGGTACTTAATTGAAATTTTTCCGAACAGGTGGATTGGAAGACGTGGACATATTGAATGGCCAGCGAGGTCGCCAGACCTCAATCCTTTGGATTATTACATGTAGGGTAATTTGAAGAATGTTGTTTATAAAACAAAACCTGCAAATATTGAAGACTTAAAAACAAGAATTCGTAAAGAAATAAACAATATTTCTCAAGAAACCATAAATAAGGTTCTGCAAGAATTTGTACAACGTTTGGGTTACTGTGCAATACAACAAGGGCTACAATTCGAACATTTAAGATAAATTCATGTATTAATTACTGCACATCAATTAAAGCACATTGCTGTTTTAGTGACACTCTTGAACCAAATTTATAGTTCAGGCGTATTACTCAAAGAGTGGTTAACAGCGATTTTTATTTGTCTCCCTAAAAAGAAAAACGCAAGAGAATGCAGCGATTACCGCACCATTAGCTTGATGTGTCATATGCTAAAGTTACTACTTAAAGTCATCCATAACTAAATATATCACAAACGTTATTGATACACAATTTGGTTTTTGGATAAGACCTAGGAACGCGTGAAGCTCTTTTTTCACTGAATATACTGATACAACGATGCCTGGACCTCAATCAAGATATATACGCATGTTTTATTGACTATAATAAAGTATTCGATACAGTACGAAATAAATCATTAATGAATGTCCTGAAATCAAAGAAGATTGACTATGACGACCTCAGGATAATATCAAATTTATACTATAAACAGCGAGCAAAAGTACGTGTTAACGAACAGCTGACAGAAGAAATTGAAATTAGATTTGGAGTGAGACAGGGACGCGTATTGTCGCCAATTATTTTTAATGCCTACTCTGAAGAGATCCTGAGAAAAGCTCTTGTGGGTAAAACAGCTAGAATAAAGGTAAATGGAGTTCCCATTAACAACATTAGATATGCGGACGACACTGTGATCTTAGCCGAAAACATTAAAGATCTTTAGAGACTGGTGACCAGAATAGCAGAGTATGGAAAGAGTATGGTCTAAAAATGAATGTCAAGAAGACGGAATTTATGAGAATATCGAAAACTCAAAGAAATAACGAGAATCTTCTAATAAACAGAACCAACGTCGAACAAGTGGACAAATATGCATATCTTCTCATCTTAAACAAAATGAGAAGAGTGCTATGTACCAGGGATTTAAAACTGGAACTAAGAGTTAGGTTGGCGAGGTGCTATGTTTTTTCCACTTATGAAATGGAATCTTGGACCTTAAATGCGACATCAATAAAAAACTGGAATCATTTGAGCTGTGGGTGTACAGAAGAATACTGAAAATCTGGTCGACAG